TAGGTAGGGATTGCAGATCAATCGATGAAGTATTGAAACTTCATCAATTGAGGTAGTTAGGACATGTATTACATATGCCCAGCCACCGACTGCTACTACGAGCTGTTTTGTGGTGTAGGAGTAGGTTGGAAGAAAGCTAGGGGTGGCTAAACCAAAACATAGCACAAATCCATGAAATCACTGACAAGTGGACTGAGTCATGTTGGTAGATGTAAACTACCTGGTTGGGGTCCCCGAGACAATAGAAACCGATGATTAGCAACCTTTAATAACATGGCTCAAAACCGTCTGCAGTGGTACAAGTGCATCCATTCGTTGTGTTATATGAAATTCTTATCTTCTGAATTCGTCATCACCTCGATATTTCTCCTTCTAAAGTTGTCTCACTGAATTACACTTTTCGAAAAATATCTTGGAACCCTAATCTTCTTGATAACCGCTAATACTTCTACTATCTCTACCACTATGGGATTCGAATTGACAATTGCATCTCTATGCTAATGTGGTATCGCAGTTCGTACTTATGTGCGACTGTACGGAGTTCTACTTTGTCACTGACTGACCAATATTCTAGAAATAAAATCGGATGCAGTTAGTTGTTTGGCTAGTGAATCCTGGGATCAATTAATTGGAGACTAGTGAAAAAGCTTCTATACATATTGTCGAGTTGGATTGGATGGGGAAACCGATGTGCGAAATATCACAGTGTTATTTATGAGAATTGTGTGAGGATCTATATTCAGGAATACTCAACAAAATATCAATTTTACAACGGAATTGTATTTGTTTACTGAATATGCGCGCTTGATGTAAATTGGACTCACAATCAATAGTCAAATGAAGCTTGATATGCATAGAATACTCACGTTTCGTCACCATTATTATTGTTATTATTATTGTTATTATATGGCTATTGTTCAAATCGAGTAAAATGGGAAATGTTTACATTCCTGAAAAAAATATATCACATCACACATTGTTCATAAGTTGCTCACTCGATGATACTTCACAGCATCGATTGAGTGGTTTACTTAGCTCACTTATAACTCCATCTCTTATTGAAATTATGAAGAACCTGTTTATTGTATTTCAGGCTGAAGAGTGTTGAGCAAATATTTTGAATTGTAAGCATTCAACTGAAAATGTTTACGTCAAATGTCACGTGTCATATGATCCACATGAACAATGACTTTAATTTCCTGTTTTAATATGATAATTTGGTGTTTTAGAATTGATGAAGAATTTTCCGAGATATCACTTATAGTTTCGTATTGAGGTCAGCATCGATAATAAACAACATGTATTAGGAATTTTTGGTAATCTTCGAGTATTTTGAGTGACTATCGATTGATTTGTTATAAATGACTATTATTTCTCTCTCTTGTACGTGATCAACTTGTTGTGATTTTTTGTTGGATAGAATTACCGCAGTTAAGCATGTGTTTTTGATCCAGTGGTTTGCCGTGCATTGTTCCTAAGCCGAGTCTCCATTCTCCAGTTTTATTCATAGCTAGGTATTTGCATGATTTCTAATAACTCACCTCTCCTACCACGAGATGTTAATTCAACTGGTCAACTGCTGATCAGCTGATTTGTATTTTGTTATGAAGAATTAAAACAGTCAACAATAGCTATTAATAATGTAAAAAATTCAACGGTCATATGAAAATGGCTAACCGGTGAATGTGAAATCTGTTTTTTGAATGTCGTTAACATATTCAAGAGGATTTAATTTCCATCATTTATTGCAAATCATTTTAGTACATCTTCAATCATTTGCATTTGATATTTCCTAACTGCTCTTCTCAAAGTCTTCAGTCGGGTTTGTGTATTTTCCTAGTTTACGTGTTGCGTAATCGTGTTGCGCTGGTTTCCTATTTCTCTGTCATTCTTCGTGTTTATATGCAACCATTTAGTGAGATGTCAGTTCACGAATTGATTTATTTCCTGGTGTTGACAAATCACAGTTTGTTCGGAATATCACGTGGTGTTATTGTTTACTAGTCGTTTTAGAAAGAGATAAGCAGAAGAAGGGAATTTATGAATGGATGATTTATTTGTTCGAACTTTATTCAACGGATCATGTGATTTGACACTGGTTAATATGTTCAGTGTGTGAGGACAGATTGCTTAACATCTGGGTTTATTACGTATTCTATCTCCGACTGGATCTTTCACGTAGTGTGCGACCTGCACCTGGCTAATCACTGTTAGAAAATAAACCATTTGGTTCCTTTCAGAGTACTTTTGTTGATATTTCTCATCGAAATAATTAGAAAAACTTAGTGTGTGTCTATCACTTGGTTAACGATTGAGTCAATACCCAGTGAGTGAGGTGATAGTGATAAAGTGAACAATGCTTGAAACGAGACTTTTCCAGTTAAACAGGTAATTGCAAGAATTGGTTTCAATGGCTTCATTCATTAATAAAACCACTACGGAAGACTTATATTAGTATGAGGTCAATAAAAATATTGGGTTATTCAGGAAATAATCTGCTCTAATATAACGCTTGTAATGGTACCGATGTCAATTATTTTAGTAGCCAGTTGGAATAAGATTCAGTTCAGTGGTCGATGGGTTGATTGGTTGGAACTAGCAACTTACTCTCACTGTATTGTTTGATTTCTGATTACACTTCTAAAATACGCGGAGCCCAATGAACATCATCAGTTTACTCAGTCACCATCAAGAAACATGGACAGTTTTTATCTCAAAATTTATAGATAAGTTTATGAGTTTCCTAATCACTCTGGCGTTTCGTCCTGTCGACTTGACTGGTAAACGGCTGATAGTGCATACAGCAACATTGATATGCAAGTATATCTAGTCAACAAGTACTAGTTGAAATGGAACCTCTCTGGCCGATGCATTCAATGTATAAAAACACTGATGCTCTAATTTAGTTTATCTAGTTTCTTTCAACAAAACTCACTACGTTAATAATTGGTACCGCTAAAGATTCTCATTTCAAAGTGTCAAGTAAATAGTCATTATTTTACATCCTGTTTTTTTCTCGTTTACTTGTACTAGTCAGTTTAACATAATACATTCGGATTTTTCACTATATGTCGAGAATAGTTCAATAAAATGTCAACTTGTTATTGTTCTGCAATTGAGAAAATACTATTGATTGTATGATTTATCTATAGGATAGTGGGTAATTACTCATCTCAGTTACAGTTCGGTAGCAAATAAATGCTCATCTTACATTTATATTCAAATATTTCTCAGAATGGTTATATAATGGTTGTCTAATTTGAACCTGTTAGTAGGTTTGTGGTTGAAAATCCTTTTAATTCCGGTCATCAAACTCTTCACCAGAATATGTATTCAAAATTGTTTGAATATTCAGATGAATTGGTTTAGAAGAAAGTTTCACAAGAGATTCATGAATAATAGTGTCTTCAGTAATTCACTAAATCAAGCGCGTTCTTTTTATGTCCAGAAACGGTATTACCCATCACTTATATTATCACAATCCTACCAGTTATTCACTGTTATTGTATGCTCTTATGTGAGTGTATGCCCTTTTTATCCTTTACTTATTCATCGTTTCAATAATTATTTCTCGTATGTCTTTATAATTTTATTTAATTGATAATAAAAATTCTTTTTGTACTACTTAACTTTTTTTTCCGAACTTTAGACTGTGGTAGCTTGCCATTTTTTAATACTAACTACTATGTCTAAAAGAACTATAAGTACTCTTGTACGTGTATGTGAAGAGGAAAATTTCGTTTTCTCTCTGTTTCAGTATATATTTCGCTAAAGAATAACAATACTAACTGTTTCAAGTAAGATGTTTTTAAAAGACTTCCTCAAATTATTACTCCTCATAGTCTACAAAAAACTAAATAGTTAAAAAAATATTCAGTACACTTTTCCCGAATTGTAAATGCTTTGCTTTATAGAAAAAAATTAGTTATCCATTTAAAAGGAAAAATTTTGAACTTTATGGATAAACGCTTTTATTTCAGAGTTCCTCACAATATGCTCAGATGTCAGTTTGAATCGTTTTCAAGTTCACACTTATATTTCTGATGTCATGTTAGTTTAAGAATGCTGGTAAACATTAAAATGAAATAAGGCAGAATATTTGAAGTTGCATTTAACTGACAAATCCCGCACAGGATGAAACGTGTGTTTTACATTTTATTACAAGTCACAATCTTTTGATGATATTGAACTTGTGACAAAAAATAGCTATAACGACATAGTTTAAACAGAATAAATATATACCAACCTAAACTAATCAAACTTCAGTCAAGCGTCTTAACAATCAAATAATTCAAGCCTGCATAAATTGATGCATAAAACCATTTTCCACCATGTTGTTGAATTGCCATTTAATTCAATGTCCAATAATAATTGAACAAATCTGTGTTTTTCTAATATATACTGTTTCTTTTCTATTCCAGTTGCAAAAAAAAGTGTACAAGTTAAACTGATTTAATATTTTCCGCTATTCACACACACACACACGAAAAATGAAATGATAGGATTTTTATTTTATTTTATTTTTTTGGAAAATTTCAAGCATATAATTTAAACTTTCAAACAAGACATAGAATTAGTTTTATTCAAAAAGATTTTCTATATAAAATCATTTATTCTTACTAAACAAAAATTTGAACATAAAAATGACAATAACTAAAGTGAAATTATTGTACAATGTAAGTTCACTCAGTATTTCATTAAAAAAAAAAAAGAACAGAATCAAATGTTATATTTTATCTACCACATAAACATGTTGAACTGTTTCTAAATTTTTATTTTTTTTCTCATGAAAAAATAAACACAGGAAAGAAAAAAAATAATCAACAAATGAAAACATAGAAAGTAATCAATAAAAATAGATGATGGCGTCTACTATTCGGGTTTTCTCTGTCTAGTGAATTAGTAGTAAGAAATTATTTACAGAAATATAATATGCATTGTATTGCGAATTCGCTTAACAAAGATGAATTTGGTAAAGAGATTTGTGTGTGTAGTGTATGCTAATTTCGCTTAAAAATACTATACCATATACACCACATCATAATTTGAACATCATGCCTGATAGTGACAGCGCCTAACATAAGAACATAACTAGTGATTGATTGTGTCGACCAAAAGAGTATAGACATTAAATTAAAAATATTATCATTCCATTGACAATTTTTTCTCGCTACAAGAAAACAACAATAATCACTGAAGATGGAACCGAATACAAATAAAGATAATAAAGGAAAAAGGTAGAGAACAGCACAAACTAACATCATTTTAGCTACAGTTATCCTAGCTGACATATTATAAACAATCAATCTTACTACAGTTGGTTGTTTTCTATGCAATGAATGTTGAATAGTTTTTTGTGATTGTTGATGATTTGTTGATGCAGTTGTTGTTGTTGTTGTTGTTGTTGTATGTGTAAGTGATAAGCCTGTTGTTTTAATCGGTGAACTAGGGAATTTTTTGTTCATTGTTGTTGTTGTTGTTGGATTATTTCGATAAGATATTGTTCTCATTCCTAATTTGGTATTTTTTAATTTCCATTTTATTAAAACAATAATCATAACTATGGTAGATATTGTAACAATCATGACAGGAATGATTAAAGTAATGGACACTTTGACAACATTCACTGAATCACTTCGGAATGTTCCAGAACAAACTGGCTTATTTGAAATGAGTAGAAATAAATTCGCTGAAATACATAATAAATAAACAAATAATATCATCACTAAAGTTGGTCCAATCGAGGCATGATTCATACTGTAATATTTTTTTGGATACAATGTAATATAACAACGTTCAATGCATAAACATACAAAAAGCCAACCAGAAATATCACAACTGATAAATGATAAAAATATTTGTAATCGACATAGCCAGTCAACAGTTAATAAACGTAAATCATTACCAGTAGTTGAAAGATATATCAATCTAGTTAAATCTACACAACCTAACATATCAATCAATTGCATTGATAATATAATAATTTGAGTTGACATTCTCAGTGAACATATAGGCCATGTGAAATTAGGCTTACAAAATTTTTCAGAGTTTGTTTGATATTGTTGTAAGTTGACATTATTCCTATATGGTATGGTAGTTGTTGTTGTTGTTGTTAGCGTAGTTGAACACGATGCAGTTGGATTACAATGATTCATTCTTCTTGTTTGTTGTATATATTTCAATTTTCGAATTATTCGCCAGCCTAAAATATAAGCAATCCATAATGTTGCTGCAATAAAATGTGAAAATAACGTGATTATGCCGATACATCCAATAATAATACGAAAAAATTGATAATTATGCTGACACATCTCGTTAATTAATCTATGTGAAACAGGTTCATTGTTAAATTAATGCTCATTATAATGTACATTGGACATGAAGGAAATTTTATGAATGGAACATTGATAGTAACATAAGTCATTTTGTTTATAAATATATATATATATATATATATATATATATATATATATATATATTTGTATCTTATTATTTCGAAAGTATACTCCTGAAAAATTAGTCTGTTCAATTGTCCTATCAAATTTTAATCATATACTGCATAGGGATTGGATAAGACTTATTCTACAAAAACTTTCATTTGATAGATTTCCAGTTATACTCAGTTATCTATAATGGAAGAGTCACAATTTAAACGGAAAATACTGTTAGCTGTATATATATATATATATATATATATATATATATATACATGACAGATGAATAGATAGGTTCATTATAGTTTCCACTTGGTTTGAAAATACACTGTTTGTTATTTTCTAGAGAAACATTGTCAACAGTCTTATTCATTAATTCGTTTTCTCTTTTAGAAAAAAAATTAATAGATTTTCCAAGAAGAAAAAAATCAAATAAAAAGTCTTTCAATATAATGAAATAAAACGTAATTTTTTTTAAAGAAATAATCAGAAATTGATTTAATTATACATGTAGAATGTTTTATGTCATATGCTTCTGTAATTATATATATATATATATACATATATATATATATATATATATCTACATACATAAATGAATTCAACACACAACTATTGTTATAATATAGGCAAAAATAGATAAACATCTTTTATTATTTGAGTTACTAGAGTAAAAAGTAAAAACAGACTTTTTTTGAAACAAAAAAACTTTTATCAATAAACTAATTATTTTATAGCTTAGTTTTATGATCAAAATGATTTATTTAATACCTAATAAAAAGATATAATCCTGTTTTTAATCAAGATAACTAATACATTGTAGGCTGAAGTAAAATGAAGAACCGATGATTATCGAATGAAAATGAATAGTAGTTTCACATTCGAATTTGAAATTTTGGAACAGTGTATACTTACAGTTTCATAAACAAGATTTAAACGATGCGATTATATAGTATGAAAATTAACTGAAGCTTCTAAACTGCAAAATCATGCACGGAGGTCAGCTGACAGACTCGTTCGAAGTAAAGACAGGTACCTGGCAAGGTTGCTTACTCTTACTCTTTCTATTTCTCTTTCTAGAAGATTATGAAGACGTCAAAGTCTGGAGGGAAGCACGGTATCCAATGGACAGCTAGGATGCAGCTGGAAGATCTGGACTTCGCAGATGATCTGGATCTTCTATCACACACACAACTAGTGTAGCAGCAGCCTAAGCATCAGCAGGTCTCAACATACATAAAGGGAAAAGCAAGATTCTCCGATACAACACAACATGCACCAACCAAATCACTTTTCATGGACACGCCTTGGAGGACGTTAAAACCTTCACATATCTGGCCGGCATAATCGACAATCAAGGTGGATCTGTTGCAGATGTGAATGCATGGATCGGCAAAGCAAGTGCTGCATTTCTACGACTGAACCACATCAAGAACTCCAAACAACGATCAACAAACACCAAAATCAGAATTTCCGATACATATGTCTAGACAGTTCTACAGTATGGGGCAGAAACTTGAAGAACTACGAAAGTCATCATTCAGAAGATACAAGTATTTATTAACAGTCGTCTACGCAAAATACTTCAGATTCGTTGGCCAGACACCATCAGCAACAAGGTACTGTGGGAGAAAACAAACTAGATTCCAGTGGAGGAGGAAATCAGGAAGAAGCGGTGGGAGTGAATAGAAAACACATTGTGGAAAGTACTCGACCGTGTCACAAGACCAAAACAAAACATTATGCTGAGAAATGTAGAAAGACATGAGAAGAATGAACAATAATTGGGTGGAACTAGAAAAGAAGGTTGGATAATTCTGGCCAGTGGCCTATGGTCCATTGCTGATTACAAACGCAAAATACTTCGGATTCGTTGGCCAGACATCACCAGCAACAACGTACTGTGGGAGAGAACAAACAAGACTGCAGTGGAGGAAGAAATCAGGAAGAGGTGTGTGAAGTGGGTAGGACAGACACTACGAAAAGCGCCTAGCTGCGTCACAAGACAAGCCCTCACATGGAACCCTCAAGGCAAAAGCAAAAGAGGAAGACGAAGGAACACATTACGTCGAGAAATAGAGAAATATATGGGAGGAATGAACAAACAATGGACAGAACTGTAAAGGGAAGCTCAGGACAGAGTTGGTTGGAGAAAACTGGTGGGCATCCTATGCTCCGATGGGGGGTAACAGGCGTAAGTAAGTAAGTAAGTAAGTAACTAAGTAACCAGATGAAATTGATGGATTTTAGTTAATATAATGAATCAAATAGACGAAGCAGTTATAAATGACAATTATCTGTATAGATAACAATACTACAAGAAAATTATGAAAGATAAAAATTATTTAGCTCCTTCACAAATTATACCATTATCATTAAATCACATTTATTTGTAGATAACTCATTTATGGCAATAAACTATCTGCATTAAGATGATTAGACATGATTTATAATTTGAAAAAAAATGCAACAACTTATGAAGAACTAATCAAAAACGTCATTTATTACATAATTGATTACTGTCATATTTGTTGATAAACAAATTAACGGTTACTAGGATATTAAATTAATTAGCTTGTCACATGTACAAATAAATAATTCATAATAAATAGTTAATTGAATAGGAAAACATTTACTTACATTTAGAAATATAAGTAACATAAGCAAAATATCTCTAAGCATTCGATAAAAATGAGTACTCAAGTTGCTTGAAAAAAATATGAAATGTTTATTTGGCTTACGAGAAATAACATTGAGTTTTGAGGAAAACTTCAGTGTATGTGCTTCGTTAACTAATCAAAGTCTATTGGGAAAACTAAGTATCGAAAAAACATCAGGAAACTAGAAATAAGGTTTCAAAGATGTTTTTAAAAGTGATTGTAAAACAACGGTTAAATCAGTGAGTCGAAATCCAGAACATAGGTGAATTGTTTATATAGTGATGTGAAGCTACTTGGTAGTTTAATTTTTTGGTCAATGTTTAATCATGTGAATATTGAGGTTGAATAGATGAGTAATGAAAAAACAAATGTCTGTTCAGAAAATGAAAAGATTGGCATTCATTGAGGACTGAGAAAAACAGTATGTTTTATTGATAGCAGATAATTTTTTGCGTACTGAATAAACAACTTCCCGCCATCTTCTCTTGTCTACACCGAGTCATATATGTTATGGTGTCTAAGTCTAAGGTGCATATTGTTTTTCGAATTATAAATGGTTACATGCCAGTCAATAGTTCGTTTGTATTACCAGGTGACAAATAAACAGTTTTATGCCTACAGTATACATTAATAGATTAGACAGTCTCTATTTAGTTGAAGCGGTTAATGTTGATAAGAGCTAAATTTAATAACTACTGAATAAACTTGTGATGCATATTTTCTTATTGAATTTTCTAATTATAAAACCACATTTATTTGACAGATTACACTTAATGTCTTTAAAAACAGTCAAATTTGTTATCCAGTATAATTAAAAAGTCACAAAACGATTTTTTTTTATTTTGAAAGAAAAATCTAAGACCATAATGTAAACCTTTTAGATAGTTAATATTATAGAAGTAGACAGTAACAATAATAATAATAATACTACTAATAAGTTGAGCTAGTAATAAGTTTAGTTAGTCAGTAGATTTTCCCAAAAATGTTTAATAATTTTATAAAAAAAAGAAAGTAATTACCCTAATAATGAAACTTATATTTACACAGTGAAAATGTTAGATATTTGTATGAATAAAATGTTGACGATTGCATAGGAATAAACGATACTTTCATGTTAACTAAAGGTAGAGATTAGTATTAGGAGTTAATAAATGACTGACCTTAACAAATACGTTTTCAATTCTATTGATGCATTGACGAATGATACTGTTTATTGATGTCACATAATGAAAGAGTCTCTAAATCAATTGTACATGATTATATGATTGTTCAATAGGATATTAAATTTGAGGAGTTAACAAAATGTTCTAAATTACATGAATAGAGTTTAATATTTTGATAAGTTAAAATGAGGTATAATGCTTTTGTAACCAATTTAAGATTCAAATAATGCTAACAATTTGAATTACCTTCAACATAGATTCAGTTTCAGATTTCTTCTAAGATTACTGCACATTCTCATTCGTTCATTGACAACACACAGTGAGGAATTCTGTTATTTAAATTTATTTTTTTAAATATAATATTCTCCTTAACTGAGTCATGTTATGCACTAACTAACTTATTTTAATATCAAAACGTTGAAGAAAAAGATTATTTCAGATTAACATGAATAGTTTTAGTGATGAGTATCTCTATGAAGTACATTGATTCAAGCAAACAGGAAATGTTTAATCTTAGATTGTCATTTGTAATACAATCTGCTTAGGCATAAATAAAAAAATGCAAAAAAAAGTCATCAAAGAAAGGCATCATTAATTTACAACAGAAAACAATTTATTCATCCTAATGCAACGATCAGTATGCTATTGATCTATCATTGGGCTGTGTCTTTGCAATAGTAGTGGAAGCTACTCACAAAGTTGGCTTATAGACAACCATTAGAAACCTGGAAGCACTGGACGGCCGTTTCGTCCTGGTATTGGACTCATCAGCGGTGCGCGTTGATGACTCCAATAGGTCGCAGGATTCGAATCCAGGACTTTTGATCTTGCGCACGAACACCTAACCTCTGGATCACTGGGCCGGCATCCAACGGTGTTAATGTCTAACTTTGATCAATCTGAGGATTTTACGCGACTTCATCCTTCAAAGGGCGATGTGAGAGTAGACAATCAGTAAACTACTTGGATTACACATAGATGCTTAAAGATTATGTGTGCATATTTTCAAAATAAACTCTGGCCTCTCCAAATCAGTATCATCCATTGGGTTTTC